GTGTGTGTGCATAAGTGAGGCCCCGGCCCGACAATCTTCACGATCACATGGAAAGGTAATGCAATGCTTAACTCCAAGCATGTATCGAGGGCGGGAGACCGGTCAGGCCCGGCGAGGGCCTGTCCCCGCCTAAGAGCAGAAGGGCGATGCGTGGGGGACTCCGACACCAGACCGCAGGGCCGCACACCAGGCGCCATTCACACCTCCTGGAGATGCTGAGCATCTATCTGGACAAGTTCGTCCATTGTGGGGAGTCCAGGGCCCGCGGACGGGACCCCGTCGAACTCAGCGCGTGACGGGAGATCCCCGCGCCTCGGTGCAGGAAGGGGCAGTGCTGGGCGTCCTGGGGTGCTCCAGCTGCTCCCGAACAATGGTTTGGGGTGTGATCAGGCACTGTTCGGGGGCAGGATGGGGCCCTGCTTGGACCAGACCCCGTCCACGCCCATGATGTTGGGATGGGCTAGAAAGCTCGAAGCTCGGCAGGTCAAAGCTTCATTGTTTTCGGAACGGAGCAGCTCTCCAGATCTAATCCTTAATTACTTATGGAGAACAGCCGGTTCGATGACCGTTGTGGGCATCCTGGGCCCATTCTTGATAGGAACCGGACCCATCCTTGCCGTGTCTAGTCTTGTCCTCTCGCGCAGCTCGCTGCTCATCCTTCTTGGCCTGGTAGGGTGAGTTTTAAACGCATGCGACATGCAGGGCAATGCAATACAGCAACGAGTGCTGACGTGCTGCATCGCCACCTGCATGCCTGACGCAGGGCCTTCTACTGGATCACCATACTGATTGCCATCAGCATCCTGCTTAGAGGTGAAGGGGCCCAGCATAATTGCAAGAGGCCAATTGGGAAGGAGCCATCACTCTGACATTAGAAGGACGTTTGAAAAATGTTTTGCTCAAAATGTTGAAGAATCAAGGAAACCTCGAACCATCCCTCAGGCTTCACATCGACCGACCCTGGCAACCTCGCCTCCCTGAGTCTGCTGCTGACAGCTGTCGTGCTCCAAGGGGCCGCCCGCCTCCTGCAAGCCAAGGGTTTCAGGTGGAAATTCTGGAGTGTTGTTTGCTTGCGAGCGACTGCATGGCTTTGATGTGATAGGTGTGGCACTGCATTATTAGCAGGGCTGCCTTCTCACCTGCCTCACACTCCACCTTTCCATGCCTTTCCACCCAGGCTTGGGCTGGGCAGGCTTAATGCCTATGCAGCAGGCCAGCACAGCACTTTGACCAAGCAGGATGCCTGGGGCGTGATCCTGGCCCTGGGCACTGGCCAGGCGGCCGCTCAGTCCCTGGCCTTTTTTGTCAGGTGAAGGGTGTACTTGCGAGATCTTATTGCGAATCTGGCATGACTCTGGACATTGAATAACATCCCTCTGCACTCATGATGCACATGCCTGCAGTTGGAAGGAAGGGTACGCAAGTGCGAGGCGGGAAGAGGAACCCTCTCCCCACACAGCCAGCCAAAACCTCTACACCCTTCCCATATGCAGCTGGCTCCCCTTCCTGCGAAACGGCGGCACTCTGACCCCCCCCTCCTCATGCTGGAACATCTCCTTCTTCGTCCAGGCAGCACTCAACAGCCTTGGTTTCAGCCTGGTCCTCCCCGCGGCGGCCTTGCTATCGTGCACTGCAGCGCTGCAGGATGGAGGCATGCTGAGCATGGCTGGGTTTCCCGCTGGCCTGCACCTGGCAGCAGCCTTCCTGGTGCGACTTGGGGTTTTGGCATTCTTGGGTGGAGCATGTGCGTTGGAAGACTCACCACAGCGCATGGCTGCTAGGTTTGTAATTGAATTGACCTTCGGGTGGGCCCTTGCCACGGCCGAGGGGGTGCCCAGGGGCAGGCATACCTGCCCCCACCCTGCTTGGTGCATGCTGACTCCATCCGACCTCCCTCCACCTCCACCAGACGGTCCTGGGCTCCACAAACTCTGCAGTGTGCGTCCTCGGCACGCCTGCCATGCTCTGCTTGGGGCTGGCCTCCGTCGGCCTTGCGTCTTCCTCGTTCTGGAGGGCCGAGGACTTGTCCCGTCTCTGATGGGCGCTAGGCAGCCAGGAACCTTCACGAAACAGTACACAGACATTTCCATGGTGAAGCAGTGCGCAGTGCATTGCCAGCTCGTCACAGCCGGGAGCTGTGGGATGAGCGCCAGATGTTTGATAAGCTCACCTGTTAAACATGGTGCCTTGCCTTGCATCATGAAACCTTCCTTGCCACACCCGTCAATCGGCGTTTGTGGTGGTCATGTGGGGCTGCCCCAGTACAGCACATCAGCACAACCTTTGGCGTACATATGGTCGAGGATGATTTATTCTGCAGTCTTCTCGATGTCATGTTCTGCCGTGCACAGCAGGGCTCTTTTGAAGGGGCCTGCAGCCAGCGTTCCCTTGACCAGGGATCGCCAGCCTTGGTGCCCTTGGCCGCCAGACCCCTTGCAGTCCTATGCAGCTGGCGGGTGAAAATCATTCCTTCTTCTTGACCTCCGCAGCGCAGCTGCCGCCCCGCGCCACGGCGGCGTCGATCGCCCTCAGCCGCTCCAGCAGGGGCGGGTGGCTGTAGTGGTAGGCCGAGTAAAGCGGGTCAGTGTGCGGCGGCGACTTGTTCTCCTTGTCCAAGACCAGCAGCGCGGCCTTGAGGTCCTCGGCGCGGCCCTGCGCGACGCCAAACGCGTCAGCCTGGAATTCGAAACGCCGCGTCACGTAGTTGTTCAGGCAGCCCAACGCCTGTTGTGGGATGGGGAGGACAGGCGTGGGAGTGCATGGTGCCGCCTCGTGCAGTGCATGGGGTGAGTGGCTTAAGGTACGGCACAGGCAACAGGTTCCTATTGCAATTTGCCCTGTTGCTTGTTGAGAGACAGAATGCATCCCACCCCTGACTCGCACAGTCGCCGGGCGCCCGGCTCCCGGGAAGTCTTCAATTTCCCTTCTTTCCCCCACTCCCAAAGCTTCCCCCCTGGCCCTCTTCCCCCCCTCACCTCGTCCAGGGGCCCCGATAAGTACTGGAAGAGCACAAAGGCAATGAAGGGGGGCGAGGTCACAGGGTCAAACCCAAAGCTGGAGGCCAGGGTGGGGCTTGCCCGCAGCGCGGTGAACAGCGCCAGCTGGCCCAGAATCTGGACCTGGGCCGCCGCGAGGAGGCGCGGCGTGTGCCCCAACGCCCAGTGCCCCAGCTCGTGGGCCAGCACGGCCACCACCTGCGTGTGAGGCGCGGAGGAAAGGGCGGCAGGGATGGGTTTAAGCGTGGGGGCGAGCGTGTTTCGGTCCTGGACTCCTGGCGTATGCCCAGCGGTAGGCAGCCGCGCCCAGCCACCTCAGCCCAGCCACCTGCCTGGGGCACGCTGGACTGCTCGATGAGGGTGTCGTAGAGCACGATGCGCTTGTTCCTCCAGAAGCCGTACATGTAGGCGTTGGAGTGGGCGGAGCGCTTGGAGCCGTCGATGACAAAGAGCTTGGTCAGGGGGAAGTGGAGCGAGGCCGCCAGCGCCTCGATCTCCTCCCTTTTGTTGGTGGGGGTTGATCGAGTGGGTAGGAACGGGTGGACAAGGCCGCCGCCTGGCTGAGTGACAAGGACGAGGTCCTTGCCCCCGATGCTATGGCCAGATGTCTCCGGCGGTGCCCTGAACCACTCAATCAATCCAGATTTCTATGCCACCCAGCCCACAACCCGCCAACCTCCTCCACCCACACCCCTTTTACCCCCCTTAACACAACCACACCTGAGCTGGCCCTGCGGCAGGGGCGTGAAGCTGTTGAAAAGGGGCGCGATGACGCTGGGGTACAGCGCCATCAATACCATGCTCATGGCCAGGAGGAAGGCCCAGAGGTGCAGCGCCACCCAGGGCCCAGCCCTCTCCAGGATGAAAGCCACGGCGGCGATCAGCGGTGGCCCCAGGGCCAGGCCCAGGCCCAGGGACTTGAGAGCATCCATTGCAAACGTGGCGGGGCTGGTCTTGTTGAAGCCGTGCCGGGCTTCCAGGCCAAAGGTCCGCGCCAGGGACCAGGGCAGGCCCAGCGTGGCGTTCAGACCGCTGGTCAGCAGCGTCCAGAGCACGGCCTGTGCGATGGGCCGGTGGGCACCGCCGAGGAGGTGGCCCACCGCGTTCCAGGACCAGGGCAGGAAGCCGGAAAGGAGCAGCGCTGCGGAGAGGGCGGAGTCAAAGGCGCCGCGCGCCATGCCGAAGCAGAGGCTGTCCAGGCTGTACGCCTGCTTGCTGGCGTAGTCCTGCGGGGCCAGGTACAGGTGCGCCAGCTCTTTGGGGGGGTGGGCCCGGCGCAGGGCCTATAGGTGAGGGGAAAAGGGGGGGCATGTGAAATAAAAGAAAACATTTATAGATGGTCGATCATGTTGGAACATGATTCAAAGGTGCTTTTTAAGCTGTGTAATTGATGGATCTTAGGAGGGGGCAGGGATTCCATAGGCATTGGCTTGAGCCCCAGCACCACGGATCCAGAGATCCGGACGGACGGGCGGGAGTACATGGCATCTGGGCATGTGAGAAATTCACGGCAATTCCCCATTACCCGTAGCTGTCGAGCGTCCAGCCAGGTATGGATGGTGTACACAGCGGCATCGAAGCCGAGGACGAGGTGGAGGTAGCTCCACCCAACCATCGCCTCCCCAGGACGCCCGCAAGCCACCTCGGATTAGAAATACAGGGCACTGTGTCCCCGAAAGGTGAAGTAACCAAACCTCGCACGATCTATGTATATTGTCAGCAGTCCGAGATGCATCCGGTGTCGACGTGGCAGGCGCGCGGACAGGAAGCCATGCAGGTGAGGCCAAGTCCAGATGGCATGCTGGACCAGGTGGGGTCCTGAAAATAATGACACTCAGAAGTTAACCCGCCATGACGGCATCGCGCGGCTGTATCTGTTGACTCATCAACCCGAGCCTCCAGCCGGCTGGACAAGCCAACGTCATGCCTCCTCCTCAGTGGCCTCGGCCAGCTTTTGTCGCTTTGCGGAGTTGGTGTAGCTGCGCAGTGCCCACTCCTTCTCGGCATGCGGCTGGTCCACGGTGCCCAGGGATATTTGGAAGAGCTTGGCCTCAAAGCGGGGACCCACCTCCTTCAATTCGAGGCTGGAAGGGCCTGCCGGCTGGGTGTACACATGATGCCTGAAGCTGATGTAGTCGGCCTGTTAGGTCGGGGGGTTTGGAGGGACCAATTGGGGGATGTTGAGCGCTGTACAGGGCTTGGGAGTTGGCCGTTGGGTGGACACCAAGACAGGCATGTGGTGGACTGCTGTCCCATCTAGATGGAAACATTGTGCTCTCAGAGTAATTGTACCACTGAGGCTGGGATGGCCATGTGCATGCTCCCATTAGCCGGTCTTCTCCACGTCGCCAACCCCACCCCCTCCCCGTCTACCTGGTTGGCAAATGTGATGACTCGCTTGGTGTCGAGCTTGGGCACAGGGAAGAGGTGCTTGAGGATGTTGGACACCCGGCTTCCCAGGCGGGAGGAAAAATTGTCTAGGATCAAGTGAGGGTACGCCTCCGATACCGTCCCCACCGTCTTCTTGTCGCCGATGTCATGCCTCAAGACCTGGGTTCGAGAGGGGCGGGGGAGGGGTGGCGAAGGATGATGTGAGCACACATGCAGCAGGTGATCGACTGCCAGGGGCAGCAAGGCCTTGTGGAGTGTTCGACTGCATATAATCTGTCAAGATGTGCCCGCCCAGACACGACCTTTGGACTGCAGCAGTGCTGGCAACCAGCTCATGATCCTCCCTTCCTCGTAAAGTAATATCAGCCAAGGGTATCGGCCTCCCAAGCTTTGAATGTGCCCATCAGGCCCCCCCTCTCCCCCTCCCCCCCCTCCAAACCACTCTCCTCACCGTGTTGAAGAGGCCAAAGTAGGCGGTGGGGCCGTAGGGCAGGTGGCAGACCACCAAGCCGTCCGGCTCGCCGCGGTGTTCGTGCACCACAATGAGGTCGGTGTAGTCGTGGTTCCGGCACGAGTCCACCAGGTCCGCAATCACCTGTCGAGGAGGGCGAGGGTGGGGGATGGATGCAGCGCTGGAGCTGCATGGGATCAGTGGCCGCTGGGTCACCCGCCGGCCCAGTGAACTCTGTGTTGCGCGGCCTTGCTGACCCCAACGCCGTGCATCGAGCCTTTGCCTCCCGCTCCAGAACTCCGCACAAGATCGCATGACCCTCCCCCCACCCTCATAACCCTAGCGGCTGCCGGGCAGGCAGGTGCAGAAAACAGTTTGGGGCGGCCCCTGCTCCAGAGCCTTTCCCAACCCCCGCATTCCATGACCGGCCCACGTGCCGTCCTGCCCCATTCCAGTACCCCGCCCTCATCCTTTGGCTCACGTTCCCTCCGCGGTTGATGCGGATGGAGTTGGGGAACACCAGCTTCAGCTCCTTGGCGAACTGGACGAGGCGGGAAGAGGGGTCGCGCGAGGTGGTGATGAGCGGCCGGGGGTCGCGTTCGCCGGCGCGCGCATACTCGTCATCCACGTGGCTCCGCGGCACGGCGGTGTTGTCGTCCTCAAGCGCCACGTCATGGCGCAGGGCGGCCTCCTCCTTGCGGAGCTCGCTGGGGATGGGCTTGCCGTCTGCAGGCGGGGTAGGGGGGCGGGACAGGGGCATGGGCGAGGGTGCACGCTGGGCTCAACGCTCGTCAGGGACGGGAGTAGGATCATGGTCCTGGTCGAAGACTACGAGTATTCCCTTCAGGCCTGCATGCCGTCCACTATTGATGGGCCTCGCAGGTCACGCCTGCCAGGGCCCAGCCTCCCAACAAATAACCAAGAACAAAACGCCGCACACCCACCGGCGAGAGCCTGTCTGATGAGACGCTTCTTCTCATACTGTTCCTTCTCTTTTCCCTCTAGACTTTTTCGGTACAGGTACTCCTTGCGCAGCCGCGCATTGCGGCGCAGCATGTGTGGAACGGGGCAGACTCGCGGCGAGGTGCAGGGAGTACGCGACGTGTGGGCCCCTGTGACACGAAAACGCGGCCGGTGGCTAAGGGTGAAAGAAACTCGTTATTTTGTGATTATTTCATCGCTCTTCCCTGCATGCATGCGTTACTGGGCCCTATTCTGAGACAGGCCGGGACTTGGCGCCCTCTTCCTGGCGAGGGAGCACGACATGACATGCACAGCATGGAATCTCTCTGTGGGTTGGGTGAACAGCGGTGGGCCTGGGGAAAAAAGGCCTCACCACGACCGGTGAGGAATAATGACATAGGCATGATGTATGCATGTTATTCACTGCTGAACCAAGCTGGGTGCAGACTGTGCTGCAAGGAGGGGCTGTGATGGCCCCAGTGCCGGGCTCAACACAGGCAGCCGCAGCACCCGCTGCACGTCTTCCGGGGACAGGAGGCGGTAAGACCAGAGCATGAGCAGGTGCGAGACGAAGCAGCGCCGCATGGGGGTGTCTGCCTGGAGGTCCACATAGTGCGCGAAGAAAGCGCGGCAGGTGTCTGCCATGTCGGCATCCCGGTACAGCTTGTGTACTCGCAGCCAGACGTTCCAGAGCAGCGCAAACTCCTGCTCATCCGCATCGAGCTCCGTGCTGGTGGCCAGGGTCTGCCGTGTCGCAGCCTGGTGAGAAAGGCCAGCGGAATGGAGGAACATTGAGGGGCGGGGGAGACCAAGTACGCCAACCAGAGTCTGCATGCCAAAGGGGCCTTCACTCTTAATTTCCACCGTAGCAGGTTCGGTAAGCACTCACCTCCCACTCCTCGTCATCGGTTTCATCGTCGGAGTCGTGCCACCCATTCAGTTCTTCCTCGGTCAGGGGCACATATGTCCGGCTGCAGGGGCAGAGTGAGCGTGGTCAGGTGCCCCCGGGCCCGCTGTTCTCCATGGTCAATAAGATGTCACTGTTGGGCAGAGGGCTGCATGAGCCCTCGCCCTCAGCCCTGAGCCCCATAGTCGGTGCCGGATCATGTGCAGCACGGGAGGGTCCGCATGGCGCCAATCCCAAGGCACTCCCTCCCGGATTGAACTCTTCATCTCTCCCCCCAAAACCCTCGTCCGACCTGTGGTAGAACCTGGGTGCACCAGGGGGATGCAGTGGGGACGCCGAGCGCGGCCGCGCCATGCCGGCCCGCGAAGCGGGTCGGCTTTGGGGCGCCCCGAGCGTGCTCTCCCGCAGGAGCGAGGTGAGGGATGGTGTGAGCTGCGCGTCCGCCCCCACCGGCTCGGGAGGCGGCATGCCAGCGTCGCCGCCCCCCCCCCGGCTACTCCCGGGGGTGGCCGGGGAAAGAGGGGACCCATTCCCCGTTCCCCGCAGCCATGGGAGCAGCAGCGCTGCATCGTGGGCCGGGTGGGCGGGCGCCTCGTCACCAACAGCGCTCCGCTCCCCCGACAGCGCCGTGCCTGGGTGGCTGCCGTCGGCGCTGTTTTCCCCCGAACATGGGGGCTCAGGCGCCTGGATATCAGCGTGAGGCTGTGCAGGGGCGGCAGGGTCCCAGGAGGCCCCATTTGCTCCCGCCCAGACGCCCTGGGTCTGCGCGTCATTCGGCGTGGGTTGGCGGCCTGCGCCGGAGGCAGCGGGGCTCTCTCCCGACCACTTCTCCGCCGCAGGGCCGGGCGCGCTGTCGCCCCGGCCCTCCTCCGCCGCGCCCTCGCCCTCCAGTGTGATGACATCTGCGCCGCTGCCCTCCCCTTCTTCCTCCTCCATCGCCCCGCTGCCCTCCCCTTCCTGCGCCTCCATCGCCCCGCTGCCCTCCCCTTCCTGCGCCTCCATCGCTCCGCTGCTCTCTGCTTCCTGCGCCTCCATCGCCCCGCTGCTCTCTGCTTCCTGCGCCTCCATCGCGTCGCCGCTGTCCTCGTCCTCCTCCTCCGCCACGTCGCAGACCTCCCACCTGTCTGATGCTGCAGCGCTGATTTCTCCTTCCTGCCATGCCGCCTCGACGAGCTCCCCTTCCTCTAACGACTCACTCTCACCGTCCTCCGCCGCCTCCGCCACATTGCCGCCCTCCTCGTCCGCCACCGCATCTCTGGCAACCAATGCAGCTTCCGCCGCCGCCTCCCCGGCGACCTCCTCATCTCCCACCGCCACCTTGCCAAACTCCTCCTCTCCCGCAGCCTCTGCCGTGCCGCCCGCCTCCTCCTCCCCCACCTCTCCGCCGCCATCCTCTCCCTCCGCCGCCGCCACTCCCCCACCATGGATTTCATCTCCTGAGCTCGCCCTCTCGTCGTCGCTGAGGATGGTCACGACCTCCACGGAGTCGGGGACCGCGGTCATTGCGCACCTGGCCTGGCCGGCCGCGCTGCGGCCCCGCCCGCCAGGCGTCGAGGTCGGCGTCGCCTGCCGCGCGTCGCACGCGCCGGGGGTGGGCGGCGCGCCGAGCCGGCCCCCGCACGACCCCTGCCCCGCCTGCCCCGGAGCGCTGGTCTTCGCCGCCGCCTCGTACTCAACCTCCTCGCCGTCGAGGGGCAGCCGGCCCGCCTGCCATCGCCGGGCGCGGGCGGACCTGGAGCAGTGGTAGACGAAGGGGAAGCCCCAGAAGCTGGTGACCAGCAGGCGGGCGAGGTGGCGGGGCGGCGGGTGGAGCAGGTCCCCGGGGACAAACACGCCCTTGCCATCAAAGTAGGCTGCGTGCATGTGGAGGGTGGGGGCTGTGTTTGGGGGAGGTGGCGGTGATGTCTGGTCATGCAGTCGTGTGCTGCGAGGCGGGGACCCCGGCTGGCAGAGAGCCTTTGTTGACGACACTCCCCCATGCAACCCTTCCCTAGCGATTGGCAACCCTTCCCCACGTTGGCCGCGGGATCAAAAGCCTGCCCAGCCTGCCTGCCACGCCGCCCAGCGCTCACACCTGGCTTGGGGCGGAGGTAGAACTCGTGCCGCGTCGGGCTGTTTGACCGCCTCCAGCACTCCAGGTACTCGTGGCTGGCGCCAAGATGCTGCTCGAGAGCCTGGCACGGGGGCCACCCGGGGTCGTGGGTCGGGGTCCCCGTCCCTTTGCACTGCGCCCCTGCCATCTCCAAGGCATGGGTGGCGCGGCAAGTGCCCCGCAGCACACGCAGGACGGACGACAGGCGTGCCCCCTCATGCCCTGCGCCAGGCACAACCCCGCCCCCGCCCCCCCCCCTCCCCTGCTTCTCTGGACCCCACGATCCCCCGACCCTGGGCTCACCAGTGCATTCCGGCACCGCATCAGGCAGCCGCCGACGGGGCACCTCCAGTCCAGGATGGGCTGCTGGGCCAGCAGCGCGCCCTTGCAGGAAAGGAAGAACGCCTGGCCCACTCCGTGCACGCCCGCGCCGGTGCCCTCCTCCAGGCTGACCACAGGGCAGAGCAGGAAGGCCGCCTCCACGGTCACCTCGGGCCCGCCCGTCGCCGCACTGCGGGAGAAGGCGGCAAAGGCGCCGGAGGTGCGCAGCACCACGCGGGAGCGCCAGAGCCGGAGCTGGCCCTGCAACCGGCCCGAGGCGCCGTCTGTGAGCGGGAAGCAGCCGAATTTGACGTCCTTGGTGGGCAGGATCGAGCCAAACATGCGCTTGGCAGACATGGCTGCAAGGCGGTGTTTGATGTGAGAGGGGGTCAGGGGTGAGGGCAGGTGTGGAGCGCCGCGACGAATCCCCTGGTGCCCAGGGGGGGGCATGTGAGCTGCAGCCTCATGGCCGGAGACCCAGGGTGTGCCCATGGGGTGGCCCTGTCGATTGGAAAGATTCGACCTGGCCCCCGGAGCAACACCGTGCACTGAGAGTCCCACACCCACAGCCAGGCGCAGGAGGCGGCTGGAAGCATGCTCTCTACTGCTGCTCCAGTACAGCCCCCCGTCGCGCCTCCGTTTCCTCCCGCCCGCGCGACGCACCGCAGGTGACGCGTTTGGTGGTCCACTGCCAGCCCTCTTGCGTCTTTCGGCGCAGCCCAAACTCCAGTTTGTCGGCTGCCCGTCGAACCCCTGGGACAGTTGGAGGGGGGGGGGGGGATCTTGGAAGTTGAGGTTTGTCGGTGCGTGAGAAGATGAGGGAGGGGCACCGCCAGATCATTATGGCAAGCGCACAGCATGCATCTGCACCCAATCGTCTCCAGGTCATGGACTAGCTCTCTGGAGCTACAAAGGCGGCCAGCTTTCGATGCTGCACCCTCCGCCTCCCCATGGTGAGTCAGGCGAGAGGGGCACACCCCTCACGACGTCGATGACAGGAGGACCAGGCTGTGCCTGACCCACCACTCTTCCCTTGCTTCCCAAATCCCAAAACGGAATGTACAATGACACCCCTGCCTGCCTTGATGCAGTACCACGCAGTACAGCTGCTCCAGGCTGCACCCCGCCGGCAGGCTGAGGGGCAGCTTGAACTGGGTCCTGTGCTCCGCCTGGCCGGCGGGCACCAGGGCCACCGCCGCATGGAGGGGCACGTACCCGTCGTCTTCCTGGGTGTGCAGGCAGACGGCGGCGAGCAGGATGGAGGAGCTGCGGTGCGTGCAGCCCAAGGCGCCCGAGCCAATGTCCAGGGTGATGAGGTGGGTGGCACTGGGCGGAGGGGGCGGGGTGGGGGGGGGGCTTGCAAGTGCCACGCTCAATCATTGAGGGCATGCTCTAGCAACAGGAAGGAGACCTGCCCTTCACGCCACAGGCCAGCGACCACGGCAGAATTGTTCCCCAACCATGCTCACTCCAGCTCAGTGCAGATGGGATCCAGGCTGCGATCCCTGTACGACAGGTTCCGCCTCAGGTGGGTGGGAGGCTGCATGGTGGGAGTGACTAGGGCGAGATGTGCATCAGGGTGACCTGCGAGGCAGCCTCGTGCGGTCAGGGAATGGGGCCATCCTCGCTCAGGCTGGGCGCCGGGGCGGTGCGTCCCCCTGTGTCTGCTTTCAGGACCCCCGACTCCCACCTTCGTGCTCTCCCTTTCCCGCAGCTGCCGATAAAAGTGATGTATCTGAACATACTCCGACAAGTCCACTGCCACGGCCTCGGCAGTGAGGCCAGGCATGGACCGGAGCTATGGTGGGCAGAAAGCGAAGCACATCACTTGCGTAAGAGCATGTCACATACATCGATGCTTGCAAACTTTTTTTCCATGATGTTGCGGGAGGCATATGATCTTGACCTAACTGTGGTGAATCGCGCATGCCTGCCATCGCTGGCCCACTGATCAGACCTGCCCACGGGGTCCCCGGAGTCAGACGTGCTCCGACAGTGGCGGGAGGCAAAGTGCTCATGATCCTTCACATGAGAGAGGCGACGAAGATGTGCAGTCTGCGAAGCACTCGGACGACAAATTTAGATCCTGCCAGGACTCCAGGGTCCCTGGGGAGGGTTGGCCGGGAGAACGAAGTGATCACTCACCTGGGTTCGGGCACCTCCAACCCACCCAAGACTTCAGTACGGTTCGGTAATATCCTTTGCACCCTCAGCCATGATGTATAGGTCACATCCCATGGCCACCGGCCTACTCGTCATGCTTGCGACCTCGTTCCTGATCCCTGTCGCTGCTGACCAGGAGTGTGATTGGACTGGGCCTCGCGTGGATTGTGGTAAGTGAAACCCTTCCACCTGGGGCAGCATAATTCCCCCAAACCAGCAGCTTGCCGTCAGTTTCCATCTGATGTATCCTGCCTAATGGCCTCTCTTCCTCCTCCTGTCGCTCATTTCTCGCTCAGGCTATGTGGGCATTACTGAGGGGGAATGCAGGAACAAGGGCTGCTGCTGGAATCCTGCCGACTTCCAGGATTTCCCTTATGTGGATGTGCCCTGGTGCTTCACCCAAAACGCCCACCCAGCGGAATATGAGGCTGCCAAGATCCAGGAGGACAATGGTGAGAATGAATGCCTGGTACTGTACCACTCCAGAGCCCATAGGGGCATGTTGCATGGGCAGTGGCATCATGGATTTTCCCATGTAGCCATCCTGCCCGTCCAACACAGACAGGTTCCCAGTCGTCATGTCCTCACGATTGCGCACATGTGCGGCATGAGCCTGCACCTGGCCCGGTCGCCTCGTGCCCAGCGCCAACCCTGCCCTGCCGTCCCACGCATGCCAGGCGGCGGCTCCTACGCTGAGCTGGCGCTCGTCAAGTCGGTGCAGCCAGAGCTGGGCCCAGACGTTACCAAACTCTCCGCCAGCGTCCGGCGCGTCGGCTGCGACACACTACGCCTGACCCTCCGCGACGCTGACGAGGCGCGCTGGGAGGTTCCCACCCACCTCTTCAAGTCTGACATCCTCGCAGGTGTGATGATGGCCGGAGATGGGACTGGCGGTGTGCAGATGGGTGTCTGATTCCCAGGGGCCTAGGCAGGGCGGGGGGGGGGTGTAAGACGCGCTGGCATGGTGCCTGTGCCGTCCGGGAGCAGCGGTCAGAGCTGTGCTTTGTTGCAGGTCAGCCATGCAGCCCGCAAGCCCCTGTCGCTCGCCAACGCCCAGGGTCCGGCCCCAGCATGAATGGAGCCTGCGGAGGGTCAGCCACTACCCTGGAATACAACCTCCTGCCGCACCCCTTCTCCCTGACCGTCACCCGATCCGGGGACGGCGCCTCCCTGTTCAACTCCACGGGCCAGCGCCTGGTGTTCAAGGACCAGTACCTGGAGCTCTCCACCGTCCTGTCGCCCGGCGCCACGCTGTTTGGCGCGGGGGAGCGGGTGTCGCGCTCCCTGCACCTCGCCCGGAACGGGGCCCCGCGACCGCTGTGGAACCGCGACATCGGGCCCGCGCTGGAGGAGCAGAACAGCTACGGCAGCCACCCCTGGGTCCTGGGCCTGGAGCCAGGCACGGCGCGAGGGGGGGTGACATTGGCGCGAGGAATGCATCTCTCTTGAGTTGGTGGGCTGTGTACCGCTGGACTCCTGTCCTGGCCATCTGAACGTGACACCCCCCAAAACCACATCACCCCTCCCCCCCAACCTACACTGAACAGATGGGACGGCCTGGGGCATCCTCCTGCTCAGCAGCAATGCCATGGACATCATCCCTAGCGAGGAAAAGCTGAGCTGGCGGGTGACGGGGGGCATCATCGACATGGTGAGGGAGGAAGGCGCAGAGCGTGCTTGGGGCGGTGCCTCGTAGTCAGGGGGATCCCTCCACCGCTCAGGACTCAGGCACGCACGCCACAATGGCTGTGCAGTTTGTATTTGGAGGGCCCACGCCCCTGGCCGTGATGGAGCAGTTCACGGCGGTCATCGGCCGGCCGGCCCTGGTGCCCTACTGGACGCTGGGCTGGCACCAGTGCAAGTATGGCCCGTGGGGGGGGTGGTGTACCTGCTGCGGGTGGCTGGGCTGGCATGGACTGAGGGAAGCCTCGGGAGCAGGCCTTCATTCCATGCCCTACCAGATCCTCACACCAAATCCTCTTGTCTGATCCGAGATGACACCACAACTCCTTACCAGAGACTATCACTCTTGGCAAAGTTTGTCAACCCCTTGCATCACACCACTCCTAAATCCCTGCGGCAGGTATGGCTACGCGTCGGTGTGGGAGGTAAGGGAGGTCGTGGCCAACTACTCAGCCGCAGGACTGCCCCTGGAGGCGCAGTGGATCGACATCGACCAGAGTGAGCCTTGGCATGCAATCTTGCAGAGGGAGACTAGGAGTAGGAGAGGGACTACTGCTCATCACTACACCCCCTGCTGTCTGGCTTTGCGCAAGGCCCCCTTGCTGTGTGCTGCCCCGTACTACATGGGGTGCAAGGTGTGCACCAAGGCGATCTGCTGTCTGCTCTGTTGGATGTCATCACTAATGTGTTCCTGTCCCCAAACCCCTGCAGTGGACCACTGGATGGATTTCACCTTTGACCCGGTGGACTTCCCCGTGGAGGAGATGCAGGTATGTGGCAGACTCTGATGGCAAAGTGGCCACCAGGAAGTCGGCATGGGTCTGAGCAAGGCATGGGTGTTGGGTGCTTTCACCTTGTGCAGGCACTTTGAGGGTTTGCACAACAGAGATCAGGGCTGTAGTGCTGTGCCACTTGCCACCACCTCCAAATACACATGGCAGGCCCTGGTGGAGGATCTGCACGCCAATGGTCAGAAGTTTGTGCCAATTCTGGATCCTGGCATCAAGGTCGAGCCAGGGTACCATGCCTACGATGAGGCCCTGAAGCGAGACCTGTTTGTGAGAAATGTAGAGGGCGACCCCTACCTGGGCTGGGTAAGGGCATCCTGGGGGGGCTCTAAATGCTTTCAGATCGTGGATAACTGGGTCGGGGCATCGACTGCATGAGACGCTGGCAAAGGAAATTGGTGGGCCCATAAGCAGCTCAGCAACCAGGTTGATTCTTGCGCGGGCGCCTGCCCCGGCCCTTGTTGTCCCACGTACTCGCTTTGGCAGCTTGCAGATGTTTGGTCCCGCACCATAGGTCTCCGTCCTGAGCCCTCCCTCCCACTTCCTTTTCCCTCGCATAACATTCAGGTGTGGCCTGGCCCTTGCCACTTCCTGGATTACCTCCTCCCCAGGACTGCAGCGTACTGGGAGGAGGAGCTGGCAGCACACCACAACATTCTCCCCTGGGATGGGATCTGGGTGAGTCGCTGCACAATTTGGGGGGGGTGGGGGATGTAGTATTGATGAAGCTGGTATGGTTTGGCAGCCTTAAAAGATGGTATGGCAGTTAATTTGCCCACCTAGAGCAGCTTGCACATCATTTAGAGGATCCCACGAGACGAGTGCCCTCCCTGCGAGACAACTTCAACCCCCCCTCCAACTCCACCTGCTGCAGATCGACATGAACGAGATCTCCAACTTCTGCACTGGCGACCTCTGCCGCTTGAAGCCTGAGACTGAGAGCGAGGTACCAACCCTTCCAAGCAGTCGTCAGGAGGGCCTGGGCAAGGACCCACAGTGGGTCTGTCACCTGGAGTGCTGGGAGGCCCAGGGTCTAAACTCCACGCAAGCGGGATGGGCTCACCCCCCCTACGACATCGCCAATGGACTGGCACGCTCGCCCCTGGGATACAAGGCGGGCCCCTCTTGTTATTCACTGTGGGAGGGAGGTCGGCTTGGGAGCCAGAGCTCACCTTCATTGTCTGCTTGCCTCATGGAGGAGGTTGTCTGCTGTTCCTCAAAGCAGGTGACGAGTGTGTTTCTTGCTCCAGTGTCAGCCACCCATTTCAATCCCATCTCCATGCGCCTGCTCACCGGGCAGGTCATGTCGGTGCTCAACAGCCACCACGACGGCAGCAGCGAGTACAACGCCCACCAGCTCTACAGCCTGGCGCAGACGCGCGTCACCGCGGCGGCGGTGGAGTCCATCCGCCGCAAACGCCCCTTCATCCTTTCCAGGCACGAGGGTGTAGGATTTGAAGGGGTGTGCATCTCCCCTGAAATGCCCACTGTGAGACTGCCCGAGCGACGCTGGCGCATGAACTTGGTGGCGGCCCCAGTACTGCGCCGCTCGTCAGGCCCGACGACCGTCCAGGAATGCTCTCCTGGCCTGTACTGCTACAACCCAGACTGTGCAGTGCCCCTCCACAAACTCTTCCTGCACTCGGCACGGACCCACCCACCCATGCAGGTCCTCCTACCTGGGGGTGGGGGCTTACGCCGCACACTGGACAGGCGACAACGTCGCCACCTGGGACCAGCTGGCAAAGTCCATCGCCGGTGTCCTCAACATCGGCCTGGTTGGCATCGCCATGGGTGAGCAGGGTTCCCTCGGGTGCACGGGGAGTGGCGTCGGTGGGTCTCCTTTCAGAGCTTTCCGGCTTGAGTGCAGCCTGCTGGCCCCACGCCAGAGGCTGGACCCAGGGGCTGCCTGGAAGACATGGCCCCTGCCCAAGGACCTGGCAACCAGGCAGTATTGGCCCTGCACCCCCCCCTGGGCACTCCAACCCAAACACCACCCCGCTTCCCTTGAGCAGGGGGCGCCGACATCTGCGGCTTCCAGGGGAACACCACCAGCGAGCTCTGTGCCCGTTGGGTATCGCTGGGCGCCTTCTACCCCTTTGCGAGGAGCCACTCAGACCTGCACTCCACCCGCCAGGTGGGCAGCTGGTAGTTGTTGGAGGGAGGCTTGCACAGGGACGGCGGGGCCCCGATCAGCCAGGGGCCTGCAAGTTGCAGGGTCATGGCGATGGGATGGGGATAGCATGGCCCGCACAGTATGCTCTCCATGCGCGCAGCATCAGACGCCCATGCAGCCCGCCCGTGTCCGAACGAGCACGGCCAGCAGGGCGCCTCGTCCCCGCAGCGGGGGTGGCGTGGACGCCCAGTGCCCCCCTCTTCCTCGCCACCCCCCGCCCCACCCACCGCCGCCCCTCCCTCCTCGCACAGGAGCTGTATCTGTGGCCCGAGGTGGCGGAGGCGGGGCGCCAGGCGCTGAGTCAGCGGTACCGCCTGCTGCCGTACCTGTACAGCACGATGCGCGCCGCGCACGACACCGGCGCGCCGGCGATGCGCCCACTGTGGATGACCTTCCCCGAGGACGTGGCCGGCCACCGCAACGACCGCCAGTTCATGTTTGGGGACGCGCTGCTCGTGACCCCGGTGCTGACCCAGGGCGCGCGCAGCGTGGAGGGCCACTTCCCACCCGGCACCTGGTACAGCCTGTGGAACGCCAGCGACGTCGTGCATGCGAGGTGCGCGGCCCTTGGGATCCAGCGGTGTGTGAGGGTGTGAGGGCAGGGGGTCGCACGCGTCGGGCGCCGAGGCGCTCGTGTGGCGCGCCGAGCTGCGGCACGACGACTTGGGGATGCGCTGGCGTGCCCCTCCTCCTCAGCTCCTTGCCATCGACCCTGCCGCCAGGGCGAACGGCACCGACGTGACCCTGGACGCCCCGCTGGAGCGCATTCCCTACCACGTGCGCGGGGGGCGCATCATCGGCACGGCGGAGCCCCGCCGCACCACCCGCGACACCAAGGCCGGGGCCCTCACCCTCCTCGTCGCGCTCCCTGGGGAGGGCTCTGGCGCTGAGCGGAGCGCTCACGGCGTGGTGTACAACGACGACGGAGAGAGCGTGGTCCAGGCGAGTCGTGAGTGCATGGGAGGGGGCCGGTGAGCGCGGGGGCTGCACATGTGCGGCACCCCGCAGCTCGGTCCCTCGAGCTGCCAAACGAGGGACGTGTCGGTGGTCATGTGCGCACTGATCATCACCGCCCAGAGCGTGAGCCCGGGACGGGCACGACCCAGAGGGGTTGGCCCCCCCACGGAGGGGGTCACCCGTGCCGGACCCCCTGGATCGCCGCCCACTCATCCCGCGCCACTGTTCTTTGGCAATTGAGGACCTTCGTACGTCCCTTCACATTGCGGCAGTACCATTCTAGCCTCCGTCACCTGCCCCGGACTGGGTCGCTCAGGCCCCTCCCCAAACCCGATCGCAGGCCCGCGCCTCGCCATGCAGCTTCCTCCACGCCAACGTCACCGTGCGTCGGGATGGCCAAGGATCGCTGTCCGGTACTCTGAAGATAGCTTTTGGATCGTCTTGGGCCTGGCCGGGCGGTGCCCGGTACCCCGACGACGCCCTCGGCGGGGCCGAGTCTGTGGCCGCGGATGGCGACCCTCCCATCCCATGGCCGTCCCTGGCTGGACTCAGGATCCTGGGCTGGGAGGGAGGAGCTCCCGAAGCGGTACGTACACGCAGCTTCAGGCCTTCGGGCGAAGCTTCCGGCAGCCAGGGTCGGAGTGTCGTGGACCTGAATCTCGCGGAGGTACGTGAAGCTTTGCATCCGGGGATACACCTCGGACCCCAGTATGAGGGGGCTGCGCACATGGTGTACGGGTGTACTACCCCCACGTCCGGGCAGGCTCTAACAACAAAACTCAACTTGATCATCTCCACAGGGAACGCGCGTCAAAGATTCAACGCTGCTCCTGTCCATGGAGTCGGTGGAGCTTCCACTCGACTGCCCCGGATCGCTTGAAATTGAATGGGGGCCTCGGAAGACCGCGCAGTACTCGGACGTCTAGGGCTTCGAGCGGGAATCGAGGCGATGAGCACCGCCATGCGCACAAACCCCCGAAGTGCTTACGCATGCTGGCTCATCGCACCGTCATGGCAATCCCATGGAAGGAAGAGCGCGTTCATGTCACTCAGGGATGGGGGCCGAACCTCCGAAAGGCATGCTCCAGCCAGTCGGACCCACCAAGATGCCTCAACATGAGCGTCTGCGAGGCATGCAGGTCATTCAAAGGGAATTAATTACTTGTCGAAAGCTGTTGAAGGACCTGCATCAGGCCCCATGCATACCTCATGTGGGCATGGGAGATCGAGAATGGCCACGTACGCCCTCAAATTGTCGACCCGGGGCAATTCCTTGGCCCGCCCAAGCCACAGATTTGATTCTGCCCGCCACTCCCTTTCCATGGCTCTAATTTAAAACACGGATACCCGCAGTGGCATGTACCTGCCATTCGCTTCATCGACCTCCATATCTACCTCTTTGTTCGCAGTATTGATTCGTACTCTGGATCATGACCAATCTCTTCAATCAGCTCTTTGCACCGCTATTGCCTGCGAAGAAGCGGGAGCGGGACGGGCAGACCTCCGGCCCTCGGAGTGCAATGCCCAAGTCTGTCAAACCCAGTCCCAAAGACTCTCCAATTGCTGTACTGGATAGGGAGGGGTCTATGGACTCCTGCCAAGACCTGTTCGCCTCGAAACGCCTTCGCCGGTCCGGCGGCATCCTCACCCAGACCGACCACGATGGCTTCGAGCAGGTACGAGCGGGTCTCGTTGGGCAATCTCGAATCCCTCCTGCCATTTCCCGGGGTGCTGGCACCTGCCATCATCCAATCATGGGTGATCGCAGCCCTCGATACCCTTCGTCATGTACCTTCACCCACCCTTCCCGCCACCGTTCAGGACGAGGGTTCCCCGAGGGTCTTCTCTGCCACCTCCTCCCAATCCTCGCTTGGCGCCTACATGGGCTGTGAGAGCACAGGGGATGCCAGCGGATCGACCCCCTACTCGGAGCAGTATGACGAGGACAGGGCGGGGCCGCGTACGCCATGCGCCAGCTCGGACGAGGATCTTGTGGCCGCTTTCCTCTCGACCTCCCAGGTCTACCCCGTCCTGTGCGCCTTGGTCCGACGTCAGCAGCTGGCGGTCACAAGCCCGAGGCGTCACGCCAACGGGGATTGCCGGCAGACCCTGGCAGGTACCGGTCGCTTCCGTAGTGCCATGTGCGGGGAAGGCTCATGGGCCCTGGTATGGGGCCAGAGGGGGTTGCGACCGGCCCCCCTTACCTGACCTGCCGCCCCACACTCCTCTAGACCATAGCCTGTGACACCATCTCAGCCGTGGATGATCTCTACCAACCCCCCTCCCTCGCTCTTCATGTGCAGAGCTCCTGGCTCTGGTGCGACGGGGTGAGTACTCACCTTCAGAGGTGACCCCCGAGCTGCTCATGACGATGCTCTGGATCATGGACTCATGGTGCGCACCTGGAAACGGTGGGGTTGGCAGCTGCATGGGGCCTGTTGCTGATGCATGGGGTGATGCATGGTCATCACGCGACGTTGGCTCGAGGATACCCACCGCCCTGTCCCGACCCGAGCCACCTGGCTGGGCTGCTCCCCGTGCGGCCGGATCCATCATGCCTGACGGGGCCGCCCTACCCATCAACCCTGGCACTCACAGGCACTCACAGTACAAGTCGCGCGCCGACGTCTGCCTGCAAATCTACCTGGCCCTGCATCCCGCACCACAGCCCATGTTCCACTACTTCAAGGCCCACATGCTGGCCATGCAGCCTGGGGTGAGTGCGGGCATTCTGTACTCTGTGGGCTCGCTGGCGGGGGACTGGCGCCTGCATGTTGCGATGTGGTTCAAGCTCTTGGGGGATCCGCATGCTGAAGTGTGGGCCACGAACTCCTCTCTGGATTCAGGTCCCTACCCGAGGTCTGCCTCTGGCTCACGCCTCCTGCGCAGCTGCACGCAAGAAAGCAAACCCTCTTCCCTCCTTCAATCCCCCCAGATTCTGCAAAGCTGCGGCTGGAATGCACGGGTGGACAGCGAGCTGCCTGCCTGCGACGATTTGCTGGCACAGCACCCGGTGCATGCCGCCATCCTTAACTTTGTACAGGATGAGGTTGTCAGGTGGGCTGGGGGTCGAAGGGGTGTGGGATGGGGGTCAGAACACCTCACGCCTCGCCCTGAAGGAATGGCTGAGGCGCTGTGGGCTTGGGCGGCAAGGATGGTCATGACCAAACGCCCATGAGGTTGCCAGGCAAAGCAGGCATTGCTCATGGCCTGGAGGGAGCCCTGGGCCCCACCCCATGTCGCTCATCCCCTGGGCCCCACCCCATCTCGTTCATCCCCTCCTTCACTCACTCAATTCCACAGGCGCTGCAGCGGCATGTGCGTTGCGCAAAACCACGATCAGATACAGCAGGCGCGGTTTGTTGCCGCCCTGCCCATGGCCTTTGACAAGGTTGTTTCTGTGTTTTGAGTGGAGGCAAGGGCGTGAGCAGGGGAGCATCTGCTGCTTCCACTCCCCCCCCGTGCCACCCTCCCCATGTGTAGTTTATTTTTGATAGCCCTGTGGGCGATCACGGAGTAGCCTTTTTGCCATGTACCTAGCTAGAACCCCTGCCTCCAGCCTTTCCAACTGCGACGGAACAGATTCCTGAACACCATGCATGGTTCCGCTTCCGCATACAATTTGCTCTTATCCCTTTTCTGTCACACTGATTGCGATTGCTGGGCTCTCTGGGACTTCCCCCTGCATCCCTCCCTGACATCACATGCCTCGGCTGGGCCTGACCGGTCTCCCCCCAAGGGACCGCCTGCCCAGGCCCCCGGCAGCAGGGGTCTATTGTTCCTCTCCCACACGCTGGCTCTCCCATCAGAACCGAGCTTCCACCCTCCGATGCCCCTCCCCCCACACCCGCACCCCTACACACGACACTGAGAATACCGAGGTGAAGCTCATTCCACACCTTCCTTTCGCTCAGTGTATTCTATATCTGTCCAAATCCACCCGATATAACCCTTGATGTTTGATTATGGGGAGCTCCATGGATCCCACACCCTTCTGCACCACCACCCCCCCAGTCACTTGGGAGGGGTGGCACTCCCTCCCCATCGGCACAGCAAGGGAGTGCCCCAGGCCCTCCTGCTTTCTGTAAAAGGGGGGCCTGGCTGTCCATCTGATGCAGGGAATCCTCCCCCCCCTCTGTCCCTGTAGTGTCTCTGCCATCTGCCCAGGCTGACACCCGCCCCAAGTCCGCCGGCCTGGTTCCGGCAGCTTCCCCTGCCTGTCTGATGTCACCTCCCTTCCCTTTACCCAATCACGCTCACCCAGCCCCCCCAACCCCAAACCCCACCCCCGGGGTCTGACAGGGCAACAGTTTTCTCGCTGCACGCAGCAATGCCCTGTGCAAGCCAATGCATGGATGTAGTATTGGACGGCACCCTCAGCGCCTGGCCGGCACTCCAGAGGGGAGAGGGGGTGGTGCTTGAGCCCAGCAGACATTCGAGCACAGATCAGGGTCAGGTTCTTCACGATCATGGGCGGGGGATCGGGGGCGAGTGCCACCCGGGATCAGAAACTGCGTGCGCGTCCTGCCTCCAGCTCACATGGCCAGTGCATGTCTGGCCCAACACCATGGAGAGCCCTGCAGTCGAGGTCCGAAAGTGGACCAGCATGCCCAACCTCCGGTGCCCCTGGCCTGGCAGCATTGAGCGCTCAGGGGGCCCAGGCTTCGGGTCAGCATGCCCGCGGCCCGCGGCCCGCGCGCCGCCGCTCAGGCCGGCGTGGAGGCGCCCACGCCCGCCAGCCCGGGGATGGCGTCGTTGGGGTCGTGGTCCCGCCAGCTGGCCGTCACGGTCTTGGTGCGCGTGAAGAACTGCGCGCCCATCTTGCCCATCATCTGCAGGTCGCCACGGAAGGACCCGCGCCAGCCTGTGACGGTGGGGGATGAGGAGAGGACAGAGTGTGGTTTCCTCATGAGGGGGTGGGGTGGGGTGGGAGGGCGTGCGGGTTGCGGTGGGAGGGCGTGCGGGTTGCGGTGGGAGGGCGTGCGGGTTGCGGTGGGAGGGCGTGCGGGTTGCGGTGGGAGGCGTGCGGGTTGCGGTGGGAGGCGTGCGGGTTGCGGT